TGCACACAAGGAGCGGGCTCGCTGGCTTGCACTCAATCCATCTCTCCCACCCAGTCAGTTTGATGGTGAGTATGACTTCATATATGAGTTGCATGAGATGGAGCAGTGGGTGCTTGACGCTGACTTGTCAGACTAGCACCCACTGCTCCATGGGAAGGGCAGATAGGCCTTGTGCATGCATTCTGCATGTGCCTGTTGCCTGTTTGGTGTGTGCTGTGGACAGAGAAGATGCCTGGTTGCGCCGGAAGGTAGCGCCGGGCTTAGGGACAGGTGTCTCGTCAAACCCTTAACCAACCAGGGCAATCATCCAGAAGTACGTAACGGCGCTATTTAGAAGCGACAACCTGGCCTCCGGCTCTGCCAACTTGAAGGGTCGTGAAGGTGTATTCTTTCGTCAACGATCTTTTGGAGAGGCACGATCTTGTCAGCCATCGCCGACTTGCGACCCGACCTGACCGAGCTTCGAGAGACACTGACAACGTCTGTGGCGAAAGAAGAGGTGATTAACACACCTTGTCAATGGGAAAAGTTGCTTTGGACCTGATGCGGGATGACGAAAATGGACAAGAAGATGTAACATGCTAGCGATGCTGACAAGGGTGATGGCTTCAGCAAGAAGCGGACTCAAAAGCATGTGAATCCCCTTGATGCTGCCTGGGACAAGTGGCAAGCGGAGGAGAAAGAGGCGGATGACGAAGGAGAGAAGAGTGTAGCGGTGCAGGGAGATGAGTCACATCATGAGTGTAATGTGGCTGAGAGGGGAGAAAAGAGAGAGAGCAGCACGCATCTTCACTGCTCAGCATTTTCCGAGGAAATGCAACGTCCCTTCACCCAAGGGCTCATCACTCTCCAAGACCTACTCCCATAGCTCAACGCGATTTAACGTCTCTTCTGATAGCTTTAGAAAAGCAAGTAAAGTTCAGGATAAGGGAGGGGAGAGTGGGGAGAAGAGTGAGAAAGAGAAGGGTGGGCTAAATTTGATGAGAAGTGAGATGTGTGAGAGGCAGGGTGTGGAAGATGGGGGTGATGTGGGAAGAAGTCCGGCTTATTCAAGGGAGGACAGTGCAATTTCTGGCTCTCTCTACCAACTCTACCAACCACATTCCCCCTGCGAAGAAGTCTCGGAAGGGCTCTTTTCAGATGGGCAGAATCAAACCATCCATGTTGGTGCCTCGCGCTATAACTCCTAACCAACCGCCAACGCTCTACTAACTGGGGTATATCGGTAGACGTTTCAGTGGTTGTTTGTATGTGGGAGAGCGCAGGGGAGTTTGTGATGTAGTTGTGAAGTATTTGCGGCGATGGGGTGTCAATGGTGAAGGGGCTGATGTCAGTTTGTTGAAGACTGATTGCGATACATTGTTGAATGTTGAAGCATGATCATCTATGAATGCTATTGTGTTTGTATGAAGACGAGGTACGCAATTGTGTATAATGTCTGTAGCCATGTGTGTTTGTGCGGAGGACTAAGAGTTGGAAATAATTTTCAATCAACAGAAACCTTAAAGGGACCCATCAATATACGATCAGTGCATTCAGTGCATTCAAAGGCAAACACGAGGGCACACATCGTACGTTGGTTCAATACAGAGAACGCACACACACAGCATAGCGAGAGACCGGCCGCACCAAAAAAGGCGTCTCGCCTGCAATGAGTCATTCAAACATGTCTACGCATGTTGTCACTTCATTAGCAGACCTCCGTGCATCCCATGCAGGCAGGCGGCAAGGCAGATACAATGCATCGCATACCTGCCTCACTCCCCTCCCTCCTCCCCACATCCATCGCATCACACTGATCGACCACACGGTCAGTCAGTCTTCCATCGCCGCCCCCTCCATCTCAAACTGCCGCTCATCGCGAGCAGACGCCAATCTCGCACGCTCTCTGACAGACACATCCACACACAACAAGAGATACCAACACTCACTGTGGATGTCGTGTGAGTGACTCGGCGGGTGGGTGTGTAGGTGGTTGTGTGTGTCTGACCTCCTCCTCTCCTCCCTGAATTCGAATTCGAGTCTCATTCGTTCCTTCTCCTCCTCCTTCTTGCGCTTGTCGGCCAGCGTCCTCTTGTACTTCTTGACGTTCTTGAACTGCGCGTACTTGACCTTTCGCTGCTGAGACTCCACAGTGCCTGAGGTCACACACAATATACGCACACGTACACACACTTCATTGACGGATGGATGAATGGATGTGTGGGTGTGTGCGTGCGTTTGTACCTGGCAGGATGACGGGTCTGAGTCCCAGCGTTTCCAGCACCGTTTTGTAGATGTCTGGCTTCGTACGGCCCAGGTACTTGAGCATCCGTCGCCGCTTGTTGACCAGACCCACCAGGCCCCTCCTGCTCGCAAAGTCCTGCAGACACACACGATGGATGGCAAGCACACACACATTCGGCGGCCAACCGATGAGGTGAGCGCGTCTGATTGACTGATCGGCTGACCTTTCTGTTGAGCTTCATGTGTTCGGTGAGGTACTTGATGCGGGCGGTGTACGAGGCGATTTGGAACTCGGGTGAGCCGGTGTCCCTCGTGTGCCGCCGGTAGGGCGCACGGGCCAGCTGCACCTGCTTCTGGTACACGTATGGCTGCACACACATACACATACACAGACAGAGAGAGATACAGCAGACTTCACAGATCTACGTGTTTTTGTGAGCATGTCCTCACCCCAGCGGGCTCCAGGTCGCTCTGCTCGACCTGCCATGGGTCCTTCTGCCTGGTGGCGAGTTCCTTTGCCCTGGCCTTGATGAGCTCCATCTCCTCGCGCTTCTCCGGTGACAGCTTGGCCATCTTCTGCCGCTCGTCGTCTGTCATGACCTCATCGTCGAAAGCCGTCACCCTTTTGACCGGTGCAGGCATGTCGTCGGCCACGTCGGAGAGCCTGTCGACGCTCATGAGGGGCGAGAGCGGCCTGGCAGGTCTGAGGCCGAGGGATCTGGAGAGAGAGGGGGAAAGGGGCGAGGGAGGGGTCACAAAGGAATCCGCCACGAATGCGCTCGCGGCAAGGACGAGGGACGCCAAGATCCTCATTGCTGAGCCTTCCATCGAGCGTGGGCGGCCAGAGTTTGCAGCTCAGCTCGCAATAGCTCGCAGCCGGATTCGAGCAAACGCCTCGCCAGCCACCATGGTAAGTGGAGATCTCTGCCTCTTGGTGGCCACACGACCACCCTACCTAATCTCGCACGTTGACATCCCCTCCCTCTGGCTGTGTGTGCCTTGCGCTGTGCGTGTGTGTCAGGCGGATCAGCAGCCGAAGAAGCGCACGTTCAAGACCTTCTCGTACCGTGGCGTGGAGCTGGATCAGCTCCTCGACATGAGCAAGGAGCAGGTCGTCAACCTCTTCCGAGCCAGACAGCGGCGGCGGTTCTCGCGGGGCATCAAAAGGCAGGCATCAACCCTCATCAAGAAGCTGCGCAAGGCGGTACGGACAGAGACAGACAGACAGACAGACAGCCAGACAGACGTCGCGCCACTCAGTCCACTGGAGTGCCTGTCTGACTGGTCTCCTTTGTGTGTGGTGTGTGTGTCGTATGTGCGTTGTGTGTGTGTGTGTGTGTAGGTGAAGGAGACCGCTTACGGCGAGAAGCCCAAGCCGGTCAACACGCACCTGCGCAACATGATAGTCATGCCCGAGATGATCGGCAGCATCGTCGGCGTCTACCAGGGCAAACAGTACGTCAACGTCGAAATCAAGGTCAGACAACAATACACACACAACCGCACCACACGCACCAGAGAGAGGCTGACGGGATGTGTGTGTGTGTGTGTCTGCCTGTGCTGTGCTGTGTCTGTGTGTGTGCAGCCTGAGATGGTGGGTTACTACTTGGGTGAGTTCGCCATCACGTACAAGCCCATCCGCCACGGCAAGCCCGGCATCGGAGCAACCAACTCGTCGCGATTCATCCCACTCAAATAAAGACACGCTCACATCACCACCACCATGCGCAGCACAAAGTCAGTGGTTTGCTCACTCGACTCGTGGACGCGTGTGTGTCGTGTTCACTCTTTCACCTGTGGGTGGGTGGGTGGGTGCTTTGAGTCCGTCAGTCTGTTTGCATCCTTCATGCACTCGCCTGTCTGTCTGTGTGCATGGTGTGACGCGAAGGCTGGAGGACCGTGTGTGTGACGTGACGTGACGACCGACGGCTGACTATGCACACCTGGACGGTGGAGGCCATGGCCTTTTGAAGTCAGTGTGTGTGTTGCATGAAGTGAGGTTTTCATCCAGCAGCGCAGGGAGGGTTGTCAGTCACGAAGAGCTCATTGATTCATTCCTTCATCAACACACATTCACACACCCATGTCTGCACATCTGCACAGCTGCGACTATAGCTATTGCAGGTCTCCTAGCCGACCAACCAAGGAGCCATCCATCCACGCACCCACCCATCCATTCATCTACCGTCCGTCCCTTGATTACACGTGAGAGACAGATAGCCTCTCTTCTCTCACACACACACGCACCACCCACCACCCACCCACAGCCACCCTCACCCTCACCCGAGCCTGACGCGCTTGCTGGGTGGCGCCCGCGTGTCCCCCTCTCCCGTCACCTCATTATCGCCTCTGCGGTTGCTGCCCTTGCCCCCCTCCCCACTCGCCATATCGTAGGTGGGCGTCGGCTCGGCCCGGACCTGCTGCTGCTTCTTGCCCCGGCTGGGACGGGGGGGCGACCTGGTGTCTGTGTCTCTGCCTGCAGGTTGTTCGTCGATGTGGCTGGTGTGCGAGGGATGTCGCCTGTGACGGGGTCGAGGGCATTGGGGGACGGGAAGCTACCTGCACACACAGACACACACACACACACACAGAGAGAGAGAGAGAGAGAGAGGGTGGGTGGTGGTTGATTGGGTTGTCTGTCTGTAGCCTTTCGCAGAGCATACACACCAGAGAGGTCGAATCGCCAGGGGTGTTTGTCGCCTTCAGTGCGCTTCAGGAACGGCACCGCCTCGGGACTAAAGGAACGCCCACGCCACACAGCGACACACACAGCGAAACTGGTCACTTATGGTGGGTGGTGGGTAGCTGTATGACCCTACCATGCGACAAAGGCTCTCTTGAGCCATCTCTCGTTCATCCGATCCTTGCTGAAATTGGCACCCTTCATCTCCTCACGACCTACACACACACACACACCCCAAACAGAAAACAAACAGGGACGGCCATGGATTGCCCCTGTCTGTCTGTCTGTCCGATTCCCCCTTCCCACCCTCCCTGTCTCAGGCACGCACTCACCGTGCATCGAGTAGAGGTTGTCGACGAGCAGCAGGCCGCCCGGCAGCAGCTCCACCTTCTCGGCACGCTGGTTCATGAAGCCCATCAGAGCTGACAGCGCCTCCTTGGCCTGACACACACACAAAACACACACACACACACACACACATGTAATGGTATGAAGAATAAATGGATGAAGGGAGTGGGGAATGACGCGGCCTCACCTCCGTGTCACTGTCATCAGCGGCTTTCAGAGGTTTGAAGTCGCCCCGGAGGATCATCGGCCCCTTCTCCGCTGTCCCCCGCTGCAGCACCGCCATCGGCTTCTCAGTACGCTCCTTCGCCAAAGGCGTCAGGAATTCGGACCTGTGACACAAAATACTCTCACACACGCGGGGGCGTGGACGCCTGGTGAGTGGCGCGTGTGGCTGGCTGACCCTGGTTGATGAATCTGGGCTGCATGAGTGTGGAGATCTGCTCCTGCGATAGGCAGGTCGACAACTCCTCTGCGGAGGGCACGGGGGCGATGGTCGTCTGTGGGGTGGGTGTGCAGAGAGGCAAATTTCACGCGTGGCGTTTGTGCAGTGGATGTGATGTGCAGCTTACGCCTTCGTCTCGGGGGTTGCGCAGACACAGCAGCACCAGGTACCGCTTCCTGCACACACATATTGACACACGAAACACGCCTGTGTGCCATGCAGGTAGACACAAACATGCCTACCTGCAGGGGTGGTACGAGTCTTCCACGTGCAGGCGCTTCTCGTTGACGTCGCCCTCAGACACGTCATTCTAGAACTCCACTGGCCCTTCTGCAACAATCACACACACACACACACATGTGGGTGGGGTGGTTGCATACGGCTGTCGTGTGTGTGCGCATCGGTCACCCCCTCGGGCAGCTCCTCCTTGGCATAGGTGTTCTGGAATCGGGGCGGTGATTCCATGACCTCGTGCGTCTGTGTCAACCAACGAACAGCACACACACACACACACATGGCCATGCATCCACACGACGGGCCCGGCGTGTGTATGGTGGTGCGTGGTGTGTGTTGCCCTCTTTGTGTCTGTGTCTGTGTGTGTGTGTGCCCACCAGGTGGCCGCCCTGCAGCAGGTCCCAGGTGTAGGGGATGGAGCCGATGGCTTTTGCAACACAGAACCCCCCAACCATCACCTGATTGATGTATACGGACGGACGGCCACACGACGCGCAGACGAGTGACTGACTGCTCGCACTGAGTGTGGCGGCTAAGTGTCTGTCTGTTCGCCCCTGACGTATACCTACCGCTACGTCACAGGTGGTGTTGCGTTCGAGCATGGCGATGTACTCGTGCTGCTTGGCCTCGTCTTTGGGGTACGCCCGCTGCACCTCGATCTCACACGTAACCTGCCGGCAAGACAGAGCAACACATGGGCATCTCTCTCGTGTGTGTGTGTGTGTGTGTTTACGCTGGGTGTGGGTCTGCTGTGTAAGTCGTGCCGTATGTCGGCAGGGTCGACGAAGGCCGACACCTTCATGCTGCTGGTGGGCTTCAGGCGCGCCTTGAACAAGTCAACCACCTCAGACAAACCTCCACCACCCTCACACAACTCATCCATCTGCAGTGCACACCACACAGATAATAACAGCCGGCCTCTTCTTGGTTGCATTGTGCATGTGTTCACCTTCTCTGGGAAGGAATGGTCATCAGGCAGCGTGCCCTCCTTCTGCAGTGTGCTGGCTATGGACCAGATGCGCTTCCGCAGCTCTGGCGGGAGTTCGATGGTCGGCAGGGTCGGCTGCTTCGGATCCGCCATTGCCGATGAGTGCACAAGTAACGAGGAGCGTAAGAAGCGTAAAAAATGCGAGCTCAGGGGGGAAGGGAGGCGATCGCGGCAACTGGCGCTTCCTGGGCGGCGAGGAGGGCTGGATTATCATTGGCAACAATGAATGCATAGCCGTCTGGCAGCCTCGGCCCTTCTTCTTCTCGTCCACACAGCGCCACTGGACACAGCGCTATGCAGCATCCGGAAGGCTGAAGGTCTGCCCGTAGCCAGGCTGCGGAGCGGCGTGCCTGTCCCCAGAGTCCGCCCTGCCTACACAGTTGCACCTGCCGGCACATCGACGGGCTTGAGGCTGGCGGGCAGCTCTGCACTGAGGATGGCGACTGCTGCAGGTAGGCAGGCAGGCGTGAGAGGGAACTGCATGCATCAAGAAAACGGTTGAGGGCTTTGGTTTGTTGTTCGTGGCGTGTGTGGTGTGGTGTGGTGTGCAGGTTCCGGTTTGCGACGTCGCGGCGACGTGCCGTTCTGCGGTGTGAATGAGGACAAGATCAGGAGCGCCAGGCCGCTCTTCAACGACAATGTCCTCCGATACCTCTACGACTGGATCACTGGTGGGTCAGTCAGTCAGACGGGCCAGAGTGAAAGAGAAGCCAAGCCCTCGTCCATCTATCCATCCATCCATCGCGTGGTGTGTGTCTGCAGAGCGCCACAGGATCTATAAGCGCAAGAATGCGGGTGAGGCGGCGCCGTGGACGACCGACCAGGTCCTGCTCGACTTCCGCTTCTGCAACGTAAGGAGGGAACTCGACAGGGAATCGAGGTGCGTACAGTGATAGACTAACACACAGACACACACACACACAGACACACACACTCGCCATGTGCCATTGGGCATTCTCTTTTGTTTTTGTGTTTGTGTGTGTGTGTGTGTGTGTGCGCAGGGCGTTGATTGAGCAGGTGGTGAAGAATCCCGACCTCTGGTACGCATGATGATGGGGCGATGGGGTGGCCGGTGTCAGTCATGTGGTGTGTTGTGTTGTGTTGTGTTGGTGTCCTTCCTTTTGCCTTGATAGCTACCGTGCCAAGGTGATGAACTGCATCTGGTTCCGTCTCTTCAACAAACAAGACACATTCCACATCACCGGACCACTCACACTACAAGTAAGACAAGACAAGACACACACGATCACACACTGCCGCCCTCTCTCTCTCTCTCTGCGTGTGTGTGTATGTGCTATGTGTGACGGCCATGGTGATAATGGTGGTGGTGCAGACGCTGGGCTCGTTGGGCGATCCGTCTGTGTTGCGTTCGTACGCGGCCAAGTTTGAGGAGCACCAGCGGGCGTTCCCCGAGTACGTCTTCTTCACCAACGCCTTCCTCACACAGGGGCTCAGGGGCAGCTGGCGGTTCCCTCCCCAACTCGATGGAAGTCAGTCAGTTGTCGACACCCACGCCACACACGGAATGCATTTGTGTGTGTGTGTGTGTGTGTGTGCAGGGGAGGTGCCCTTTGACCCGGAGAGGATGCTCTACGCAATCGAGCACATCTTCAGCGACGGATTCCTCGTGAGCACACAACACACACAACATGACATCAGTCAGAGAGGGAAGGAGGGCGGAATGGATGAATGGACTAAGCAAGCCTTTGTTGTTGTTTGTTTTGTGGTATATCTATCAGGAGAAGATAGGTGTGACGTCAGACCCGTCCTACCACAAGCCGGGCTTCAGCCAGCAAGACGTGTACGAGACGCTCAAGGGATACAAAGGCATGTCCATGTCCATGTGTGTGTGCAGATGTTCGTCGACTTCACCTACATCGCAGAGTTCCCCTACAGCGAGAACGAGTTTGTGGTCAGCCAACCAAGCGACCAACCGACCACACAGCACACAAAGCACACAGACATACAAAGACACAAACAAACAGACAGACAAGCGGCTGTGTGTCTGTGTGTCATTCAGGTGTCGGGTCCTGGGTGCGAGGCCGGCCTCAATGTGCTCTTCAGAAACAGAGACGGTCAGTCAGACAGACAGACAGTAAGGCACACAGACAGACAGACACATGCCGTGCGGGAGGGAGGGGACTAGTGGATTGCGTTGGCTCTGTGTGTGTGTGTATGTATGTGTGTGTGTGTGTGTGTGTGTGTTGTGAGCAGGTTTGACTGACGAGGAGTTGCTATTCTGGCTGCGGGACAACATCGAGGCGGCATTCAACCACAGGAACCTCAAATTCGACGCCAAGGTCAGCCACCCGGCCACGCGGCCACCCATACCCACACACACATATGCCTACCTCTCCCCTTTTCCCTCGCCTGTGTGTGTGTGTGTGTGTGTGCAGGAGTTGTTTGACGATTTGGAGGACGAGAGCGCCCGCTGCCTCAACATCATGTGCCTCGAAAACTGTATGTGCGAACTCAGCAAATACACCAAGGGTGAGGACATACACACACAGACAGATCCACCCACCGTCTCCCTCTCCTCTCTGTGTGTGCGCCTCTATCCATCTCTCCATCCTCTGTCAGCCCGTCAGAACAAGGGCCGCCCGCGCAACCGCTACCATCCCACCCTCTCGCCCATCCCCGGCTCACAGCACATGCCCAACCTCGGGGACTGGCTGCCGTCTGCATCTTCCGCCAGCAAGGGCAAGAGCAAGAGCAAGAGCAAGAGCAAGAGCAAGAGCAACAAGCGCAAGGGACGGCCGTCGGGCATCGCCAAGGGTGTCATCAGAGCACCGGTGCAGCGCAACCCCTCCCTCTCCCCGTCCACCATGGACGAGACGGCAGCATCACCAGAGCAGCAGGGGGCCATCGTGATGGCGTCGCAGCAGAGTGTGGGCGTGTCGGTGGGCGAGGACAGTGGTGCCCCTGTCTCTGCTGCTGCTGCTGGTGGGGGTGAGGGTGAGGGTGAGGGTGGTGGGAGGAAGAGGGCGCGCGTAGGGTTGCGGCCGAGGGGTTCCCTCAAGCCCAACCGCAATAGCGACTTCTCATACACGACTGACTGACTCATTGAGAGAGTTAATTGATGTGTGTGTGAGAGAGAGAGCTGAGTTGTTCAAACCTTGTTGGCCGGCAGCAGAGAGAGAGAGAGAGCACAGCAAACACAGTGCACCTGTGTTTGTTGTCGTGGTCAGTAGACGGATGGATGGATCGGCGTGTGAGCTGCTTTCGTGCTTTCATTAGAAGGGGACGGGAGTGCCTGCCTGTGTGCGTGTGTAGGACAGCCAGGTGTGTGGGGTTACTGTATAGCTGTCTGTCTGTCTCGACTTTGCTGCTTGGACGCCCTCTGCTGTGTACAGGATGACCGATAATTCGATTGAAACGGTGCTGCCTCATTATTATGCTTTTCTATCGCCCTTATCAGCTCAGCTCGTCGTCTCAATCACCCTCACTCCCACTCACTCACAGTCTGACTCACTGAATGAACACAGTCGCTCCACCGCCAGCATTCACAGCACAACCTCCACCCACTCACCACGACCTCTCCTTCCCTCCCTCCCTCCCTCCCTCCCTGCCTCCCTGCCTGTGACTACGACAGCACGAAAGCGGGACGCATCGCATCGCACGCATCATGGCGACCGACCGCAAATGTGCACCCCACCCGCACGGATCTGCAAAAAATGCACTCGCTCGCACTTGTTGTACAGACCTGCGCAGCCACACCGACAGTGTGTCCCTCTTGTCGCTCCCCGCTTTTGGCCCCACCCCTCTCTCCAGCCCGACACTCACCAGCACATGACGAAGAGTTAGTCAGCTCGCTCATCGGCCATCTCCCGCTCGAAGCACTCAGTCTTCCACTCCTCGAGCACCTCCTCCCAGTCAAACCCAACACGGCCCGCCGTCGACTGGCACACCACGATGTCCACGCGACGCACGGGACGGTCGGGCGGGTCCGACTCGCTGTCGTCCTCCTCAGTGGCCTCCCTCACCTCTCGGCTGCTGCTGTCGACCACCTTCTTGGCTCTCTCATTGCCGAAGCTGATCTGCACGTGGCAGCACCACCATTGTGTTAGGGGCAAGGGAGAGGGAGGCAGGGAGGGGAGGGGGCACACTGACCTGCCACCCGTCGGCGCGTTTGGCGACGAGCCAGTCTATGTTGAGTGCGAGAAGGTCCTTGGCGGCCTTGTTGCCGTTGCAGACAATCACCCTCATGGTGTCGTTGGCCTCGAGCAGGCCGGCGACGTCGTTAGGCAATTTGTTGACGAACTTTCTGCCGCTCTTGGTCGCACGCGCCACGCACTCCCACATGGCGAACCCTGACATCCACACACACCCAGACTCATGTGCGTGGTGCGTGGGAGCTGGGAGGGGAGGGACGTACCATAGTCTTTGAGCAGCTGCAGTTTTTCGTCATAGGGCAGCTCACACACCGGGACCTTCCTGCCTTCTGGCACGATTGGCTGCTCCTCGCCAAGGCACGAGTGCACCACCGACCTGCGTAAACATACACACACACACACACACACATGCTTCAGCGGACGGTGCACACACGTAATGTCGCGTGGCAACTGGCTGACCAGAAGTAGTTGTGTCTGTCGCAGTAATACTCTCTTGCTGTGTGGTGGATGAAGGAAACACCCGCACAGGGAAGAGGTGAGAGTGAAAGTGCGCCTTCCTCCCCGTCTGTCTGTTCCCCTCCCTCCAGCCCACCCTTGACGACGTATGCGCTGCCCAGGATGAGTGTGTGGGGCGGCGGCTGGTTGTCGTCGTCATCACGGATGACCAATGGCAGCCCATTCCCATCCCCAGCCTCTACCCCTCCCTCACCCTCGTCCTCATGGTCTTGATCGTCGTCGTCATCGTCCTCCCTCTTGATCTTGAGGCGCTTCACCTCACGGCTCAGCTGACACTGGCGTCTCTTGTTGCTGGTGGTAGTCTTGTTGTTCGTGCGGCTGCGGCTGCCGCCCTGGCGCGATGCCTCACGAAGGCGGGGCGATCTGCGGCTGGACCTGCCGTTGGGTGGGGCGTCCTCGTCAGGCTCGTCGTCCTCTTCTGGTTTAGCGTCGTGCTCGGCAGCATGCTCCTCCTCGTCGTCCATCTCGCCCTCGTCGTCACGGTCGTCCATGTCGGCTGGATCTTGATCCTCTGGGTTCTGCTGCTGGTAGTGGTGCTGGTCTGGTGATGCAGGGAGGGTGGGGGGATAGTCGGGCGGTGGATGCATGTCGTCGTCGTCATTGCCGTGGTGATGCTGGCCCTGTGGGTTGGCGGCAGGAGGGGGAGGGCCAAGGGGAGGGGCATGGTGAGCGGACAGTGCTGCCGGCTGCCCCCGCTCCAGGCGCATCTTCTCCTCGTCGAGCCTGAAGTTGATCTCCTCGCGCTTGCGCAAACCGTCAGCTATCAGCTCCTGAGCCGTGAGTGAGTGAGCCAAACACACAAACATTCATTCCATTATTCGCTCGTCCACATGTGCCACACGCATGCATACCTGTGCGATTCGGCTGAGATTCTTTAGCGGAGGCGGCTCGCCATTGGTGGAGCGGGTCATGAGCGACTTGAGGCTGTCAAATGACTGCACAAACGAACCTCTGTATGTTTGGGTG